CAATAATTTCAATAAGTTATTGTGTAATAATATGGTTTCAAGAATGGAGCAATTCTTCTAAGACGGTCTATGAGTTATGGTGTAGCCATTTTAATGGAAATTATTAACAGTAAGAAGTTTGTCGCTGACGTGAATGGACGAACAATTCAATTAATTTCTTATAGTTATCGACAAAATGAAGCAACATATGAGCATTTCCATGAAGTGCTTCATCTTTCTACCGTTTATTTGTTTGAAATTGCTTGTTTTCCATTTGGTATTTACCAATAGTATTTATTTCCACAAACGAGAAAATAAACAACCGTAAGAGAGTGCCCCATCTCAAAATGGTAATAATTCAATTTCCGAACTCAAAATGCACAACATAGTATCTTATGAATTGGTTCATTTGTTGTCACTTTAAATATTATTGGATTCACATTAATGAAACAAAATGAAAACTCTTCGATAACAAGTTCGCCCCCATGTTCTACGATTTCAATTGTAACTTTTCATTACTATTACGTAAAACGTTTTGAAGAAATCTCAATTAACTCAAAATTGTCGTGTTTACGACAAGAAGTTTTCCATCTAGGTTCTATACTTTGTTGATTTGACATTCAATTCGAAATGCCATGTAAATAACACATGTTTGGCTACATTATATTTAATATAAACTCCTTCAAGGCTTCACATCCTCATTATTTATGAAACGAACGATGACGACATATTTTAATATAGTTTATTTTACTATGTAAACTAACAAGTGAATTTCACTTTAAACTGTGGATTATCAGTCAACCGGTGTCAATCTGTATAGTATAGACAAAAATAATCGAGTTTTGAGAGGTCAACGACAAAAATAATCGCATTATAAATATTCCAAACGATCGTTGTGTTTTAGGATAAATTTAGATTATGTTGACGCGACCAAATTTGGAGCAACATTAATGCTATAAAATTCGCATACATTTTGCCACTGAGACTTTAAATGATGGTTATTTTTCAATTCATCTGGATATTGCGTGGAAATATTATATTTTAATTAGTTGACGATTCCGCCAGCCGATATTCACATACGGCAGCCAGTGTACCATGATAGCAACGAGATCTGAATTGGAGGATAAAATGAGAACGAACGAAAGGGACAATAAATGAGAGAAAGGGAGAGAGCGAACACAAAAATGTTCAATTCATTATGTTAATTGACAAAAAATGCAATTAATTCGATTCAAAACTGTTGGATCTTTTCCAATAAATTCATTATAGATTTACTTGTCTCAGCAGAAATGTGAACGAACGCGTTATAATATTTTAAATACGAATATCGTTTATTTTTTCCGAAAAGTGAATTTAATTGATGTCGGCCCATCTGTTTATTTTACAAAAAATGCAACACTCACTATCATTTTGCAAATATTTTAATTGGATGTGACTTTAAGCAAACAAAATTAAATTGTCTGATTCAATATAATTGGCGTTTTCACCTTTTTTTAAAAATAAACTGCCCTTTGCTTCGAATATGATTGCCTTAACTGTTACTTATCTGTTGCCACCCAAATTTATAAGCAGCGTACTCAAAGACTTTGTCGATAGCAGAAAAAAACATACACATCACAGAACCCGCCATACATATCACAGAGTTTGATTCACAAGACGATTATCAAAATCTCAAATCGTCGCATTCATTCATGAATTCAAAGTACTTTATGTAATGGCGTGAATCGAATTCAATCGATTTACTATTTAGAAGAAAATAAATCCGATTTATTCTATTCTCGATTGTGATTCGAACAGCAGTGCGAGCCGATCACATATTATATGTACATGTGTATACATAATTCGATATTTTTTCTTCACAGAAGTGGTTTCAATCACTTTTCTCAAGCAAACAATCACAATCGTATTTTATATAACGAATTGTGTCTGTTCGCAGTGACCTACAGCATTTCTCTTTCACTCATGCTGTTTTTTTTCTGAACATTTTTTTGTTTGAAATATTTTCGTTGCGAATGACGATGGGTTCGAAGAAATCGTCAACACACATCTTTGTAAACAATTTTTATTTATGCTTCGCTTAGCATTCTCGATTCCATAGTACCTTCTCGTTCTGTAATATATTTATGATTTTTTTTTACAAACAATTTTGTTGTTGTGTCTTATTAGGATTATTTGGAGATGTATTAGCCTAACATGTTTGGATTTATTTTCGAATATACAAATTGAATTCCAATTGTGAATATTCGCTAAGTTATCAAATTACAACTGCCGCATCAGAGTAAAAAAAAGTATTTCTTTGGATGCGGTTCACGATGCGTTTAGTAATTTTTGCTTTAATTTGAAGTTGAATGCTAGTCAAACTTCAAGAGTCGCATTGTAAAGTGGTGCGCTGCAATCTGATTTTGACGTTTCAAACCGAATTTTAATAAGAAAGAACGACAATGGCGACTAATTTGAGAATATTTTTTTATTAAAACAAAAATTCAATTGAAGTGGGAAAGTATAAAAACACAAAAATATGAAGAAAAAAATTGTTGGCAACAAATCGAAGAAAAAAATCCGCGAAATATCACGAAGAATAAGAATCCCTTAACATTCATAGTTTTATTTGTTTGTTGAATTGTTGTTTTTGATAAGGAATCGAATACAGCGTGTGCTCATAAATAATCCATCGAAAGCCTTACAAAACCACTTAAATAGTTGGATAAAACAACGAAACAGACAGTTACTGTTTCGATTGTAACCAAGACTATTTTCCGTGAAATTATCAAGTGTTGATAAAACAAGATTTTCATTCATTGGACGCTCGAAGTTGGCATGGTTGCAAAGAAGACATTGTTTTTGTTTCCATACAAGTATCGTACGCATTCTGAAGTGTTTGAATAGAATATGTTGTTGTGAATGGATTTCAATATGCCAGAAGAGTGTGCGATATGACAAAATTTCAGATTTGGAAATCAACGCCTACCGAATCAATATTGTTTGTGAGCTGATTCACCAAACAAAAATATCACACTAAAATGAGCAAATAGCAATAAAATCACTTGCAGACATAAGAATTTTTTTCATGCTTACCTTGCATTCAATCACGTCAATATATCGATTTGGCTTCCGTTTTGTTATCGTTGCGATTCGTTTCATCGAAGTTGAGCTGTTTCCCTTTTGTTCACTTTCAGCTGAAAGCACGTCGAACAATTCTCCGATATCCCTATGACATGGAATCAACTGTCGTTTGCAAAGTGAATTAATATCAGATGCAATGTCACATAAATATCATGCTCTACCTGACACACACGTACACATGCACACACACACACACACAAATCACATTCAAAACGATTTTTATTTACTTTTTTCATTTCGGTTTGTTGTTTTTTTTTTTGTTTTGCCAATACGCTTTTCTATGAAAGAGATCGCTCTGGGTTATATATTGACACTTAATCAGTTTGAATTTCTTTTCCATGCAATCATCTCTCCGCTTAAGCGGGTATGAAATTCTGTTGAATTTAGATAAACCAAGACGTTATATGTTATCATAACTTTTTCAAACAAACAAGGAGAAACATTCTCTATTTTTTTGCTCAGGGCTTTTTTGATACATGAAAATGACGCTTATTGTTTAGTGACATTAATGGGACATATTTGCAGAGAAAAAAATATATCTCCCTCCTTTCACACATCTGAACTTGACGTTGATAGTTTGTTTTACTAGTAGAACGGAATAAAAATGCATTTTCGAAATAAAATGTTAAACGAAGTTCATTTGAAATCTCATCTAATATTAAAATATAAATAGATGTTTGAATTATTAAAGATGAATATCGCCAAAAAAAGGCATGAATGGTATAAGGTGATATGAATATTTAAACAATATGCACCATGAACGGAAATAATGTAGGAAAACTTTGTGAAGCATGACGCTTAGTATTTTTGGGATCTCCAATTTGGTGAAGGATTCATCATTTGCTCTTACTCTCACTCTTATACACACACGTACAGCAAAAAATACAACCCAATTAGTTCTCACTTTGTAACAATTTTATCACAACAACAATAATAACAACAAACTTCTTATTGTTAGACAATGGCAACCAAAGGAAACCAATCATACCATTCACATCGCATTCAAACGGTAATTTCGATTCAAAAAGAAGACTGAAGAAGAAATACAACCGAAACTCACACTATTGGATATAAATTGGCTTCAAATAAAAAATGGATGGTGCTTTTATGATGGCTTCGTAGCAACTGAATTGTACATGCAATAACAATGAGTACGTATGGAACGAACCAGTTGAGCGATTTTTCCATTGAGTGAAAAGCGAATTGAGCGCAATGTTTTGAGTGAGTACCACTTTTCCATGCATTTTATGGATGTATTTGTTTTGTCCGAAGCTATTTCATGAACCAATCATTAAAACGTTGTCTTCAATTTTTTTTGCGATTCTTTGCAAGCGTTGCAAAATCAAAGAAATGCATTCATAAAAACGACACAATATAATCTGAATGTTTTTTACCGTGTTTGATTTTTCAACATTGGCACATTGATTGGCACGCAGTTTCTCTGGTAAACAAATTTGGAAAGAGAATGCATCGAAAACAATTTTCGAGATGAGTTTTGATCAGTCGACATGAATCGTCAACCTCGATAGGATCACATAAAATTGTTATTGCTGAGATCGAAAGACCAGTTGAAAAGTGCATTATTGAGACAGAACATTCAAAATATGGAAGACGATAAGATACTATTTAAGAAAATCACAATTGACAAGGTTTTGAATTTAAGTCGGTGGATTTTTTCCCCTCATAGTTATATAAAGTGAATTTTAAATTTGTCGAACTCGATTCCGATCATTTCTTTTCACGCTTATTTCCATTTTTTAATTGAATTTTGTTAAATTCGGTATTTTCATTTCGTCAACTAGATTGTCATTTGTGGATTTTTATCAATTAAACAAAAAACCGTGGTGCAACTCGACAAACACACGAATTTGATCAACGGTTCTGCAGACGCTGTTAAGATGGCAATTCCAAGTGGTTATTATCCGATTTTTCTTCAAAATTTTTTTGTTTGTTATAAATTTCGTTGCATTTTTGTGGATTAAAAATTAATTAATTTCTCCCAATAGCCATCGATTTCATATTGAATCGGACGTACGAAGATGAATACTTGGCATTAAATTGTCAGAATGCAAAAGATAAAAATCCAAACAAGCAATACGTGAAACTGTATATTTCATCCGATATGCCATTTAAATTGAATGTAAGTAATCTCTGTGTTTTTGGCGATAAAGACCATAGAAAACAATTAAATTTGCTTTTCAGGGTAAAACGAGTAAACATTTCGTGGTGACTCGGTATCTCAGCGAAGGTCGCATTGGTTTTGTTTACTTTAAAAAGATGAAGCAAATGATCAAAAAGTTTCACGAAGAGATGGCACAGCATAAATTCATTCGCATTAATGATTTGATCATCAGTGAACGCACGTTACCAACGAATTTTGATTGGAATCAGATTTTTGTCAGTTCATTGGCTGGCCAAAGCATTATCGAACTTATCAAAGAGAATGAATTTGCCACAACATGTCCCATTCCAATTGCTCTCCTGTACTTAGAACGAAGACGCATGGACGAGGCCAAAAAACTTCTAATTAAATTACGTACAAATGGGGCGGCAATATTGAAAAACCAACTGCATGGATTGGGTGAAAAACGACCAAATGAAGTGCATGATGCTCGAGCTAAGCAGCGCGAACTTAAACTATCGATGGAAGCCGATAAATATGAGGACATTCAACGCAGCCATTTCATGGATTACCAAATGAAGATTGATGCGATACAAGATGCTGAACTCGGCTTGCGACCATTTAACGAGATTTTAGTGAGATGGGTATGGAAATTCATTCACTTTATTTTCATTATTTCGATTCGTTGATTATTTTAAATTATTATTTCTATTCATTTCTTTTGTGATTCTCCGTTAGGTATGTGAAGAGAAGCAATATAAGCATCCACAATTAACAATTGGAGATGTTGTCACTGATTGTGAAAAATTGATTGTGGCCGCTGAAAATCGAATTCAGTCGCTTAATGATAATGAGGATTACAAGAAAATCCAACGATTGGTACGAGAAAAACGTCAAAATATCAGGAATTATCAAAATGAGATAGCAGATGCAGTGAGTAAGCGATTGGAATCACAGATCAATAGGTGATTTTGACGAAAAAACAAATATATTGGAAAACAATTTCTGATTATCTACTTCAATTTGAACAGTGTGATAAGATCGCGTAACCTGTTGCAGTGTACAAATCAATCGACAAAAGCTCAAATGATTTTCGAGGAATTTTTTGAAACTCAAACAATTTTGGAGCCTGTGAGTAATTGGATATACCGATTTTTTTCATGTAAATCTAATTCCACTTGATTTCAGGCGAGTATTCTTTCATGGCGTGCTGGATTAATGGCATTGACATTGCCATCAGCCTTTGACCTGAATGTTACACCCAATTTTATTGGAAATATGCTTGACTATATCGAACCAACATTGGATGAGCATACTTTAAAGATTATCGTACCATTTTTATGCGAGTATTTTACATCGTTCATATTTAAAACAAAGGCGGCGTCCGATGATTTCATGGACATTGTTAAACCGTTACTGAAAAATGGTGGCCATATTTATGCATATAGCATTGAGGAGTTTTATCCGTTGTGTTCAACAGATTTAGTAAGGTTCTCCAATATAATCAAATTGAAGTGATGGATTTCAAATTTATGTTTTCAATTTTCTATTTTTAACAGCCATATACGTCGTTAAGTTTATTGCAAGTTTTAAACTGTGACTCCCCTGAAACTGGCAATTACTTTGATAACTTTCGTATTTGCACCGAAAATGTCGCCATCGATATAATTCAAGACGACACGATTAAGCATCATTGCAACATTATTCAAGGCACAAAATGTTACTTTTACGATGGTCATATTGTGACAAACAATTGCAATGAAGACGATGTCATGAATGTGTTTCTGGATAAATGGCAAAAAGTTAAGACTCAACGTGACATAAAGATTAAATCGGAACACAAGATTTTCACCTCGCAAGTGGAAGTGGAAATAGATGCAGGGACTTACGAACATGTTGGCAATATTGAAGACTTTATCATCACGTGAATACCTTCCTTTTGTTTTTGAATGAGTTTTAAAGTAATTTCTAAATTTTTTTGTAGCGAACATTTGAAATTTGCACTTTCTCTGAAAAATCATCGTCAAATGACCGATTCATTGATTTCTTGGGAGAAACTGATTATGCAGCAAGACGCCGAGATCAATGCTAATAAAATGAAGTTGGATATGATTGAAGTAACAGATCGCATTCAAATGTGATAATTTAAAAAAAAATAATTTTCTTTGTGATTAAATTCGCAGGCCAATTATCAAGATCCAGTTACTCATTTGCAGCAAATACACTTTGAGCGATATGTTCCTGATGCAGTGAATAAGGCAATTATGTGAGTAATAAATGAATCGAGACAGAATGAAATTCCAAAAATAATCCGTTTGCATCAACTTGTAGTGAATTTGAAAAACAGGCAATGAATCGCTTGAACGGAGCCAATGTTATGGATCTGTTGCCAGTGGGGGGCGCATTCAACCGTAATATTGAGGAATTGAAAAATAGCCTCCCAGCATTGGAAACATTCGATTACAAGCAACAATTCAATGTCTCAAATATGGTTCCAGAAAATGAAATGATGCAAATGTGCAAGCAGGTTGTCGAACACAATGAGCACATGAAAAAATATCAACAAACGTTGTGCAAATTCAATAAAATACAAAAATATCCAGATTTGATGGATGATGTGAACACCATTCAAATTCCTGCCGATGCGAATTATTATGACGTAAGTGAATCAAACAGTAAATCTTAAAAAGAAGCTTCTATCAAAAATGTTGACAAATTTTGCATTCTCTTAGCTATTAAAAGGTGTGCCAGATGGTTTGTACCTGCCCGATCTTGACGCAGATTTTGACTATATTCTAATGCATTTTAAAGACCTCCCCGTGTGTTATGAATTGGTTGAGCAAGGTGCCATAGAGACATCAACTAATATGGCAATAATTAGCAGTGAAATGTTTTTTGCTACCATTTATTACAAGGGGTTGGTAAACATTGCGAAATATCTGAACAAATTGATTGACCCCGCCGATGGTGTAATTGGCTTTGGAATTGAATTTGGCCATCAACGCGAATTTGTTTTTCCTGACACAAATTTTGATGAAGATTGGGTTTTGAATCAGGAGCAAAATCGTCATACGAATAATCGTGAAATAAAGATAGTGTGTGTCAAATGGGTGAGTCCAAATGAGCATTTATTAATACAATGTGAAAATCTAAGGACATATCTTTTTCAACAGTATAAAGATCATGAAATGAAGAAATTATGTGACAAATGCACAGGTCTGAGTTTTGTCACCAAAACCAAAGGTACCAATAATGTAATCGCGCCAAGTGATTTGTTCGATGTGAAATGTCACCGTTTTGGTTTGCTGTTTCATTTGGCATTGTCGATTACAACAAATCCATCTCTGACCATTTTGAATCGTAGCATCATTGGCCACCCACGTGATAGCTTGCAGAACATCATTCAGCGATTTCTAGTGGAACATGATTACGAGGACGTCGACAACGGCGACAATGTGTTGGATAAAAAAATGTTAGAAATGATACTCAATGCTCGTCAATTGATTGTGGTCAGTCGCAAACAAAATGACTACGATAGCATATTGGTGCAGGGTTTTAAACGTTTTACGTGCAACAAAGACGGAGGCGATTTTTGCATTACGACTGAAACTGTGATTCCCATAGAAGACCATCAAAACTAGAGTTTCTCATTCATTCAACGTTTGAACATTTCAGTGACAGTGTGATCATTTTTTACAACATAACCTATAAGATGTAGCGAATAGAATTTTTATGCACTGAAAGAGAAAAACCGAGTGACAAAACAAGATTCCTTTATGTTGAAAAAAAATCTCGTCGTAAATTTATTTGAACCATATAAATTGTTTGTAAAAAAACGACATTTAGTCGAGAATAAAATAATAAAATTGAATCTCGTTGTTATACAATTTACTTGTACAAATGTGCTGTTGTGCAATGTATTGCAATGTATTCTTTTAGGCTTTCGAAGCATGAAAATCGACAATTTCACCGGATCTGAAACGAAACAAATAAAAATTCAATTTAAATGATGTTTTTAGTTTTATCAATAAAATGGTATGTATTTAATGAATGATATCCACTTACCGCTTGTCGCGCCAGCAAATGCGACTTTCGTAGAATTTGATGACCAATTTGGGGCAATGTTTGTTGGCCCATGATGCTTTTACGTAATGCAGTCCTTTTTTGTTCTTGAATTGAATCAAAGCAACCAGATCCTTTTCGTTTTGCAGCATATGATGAATATTTATCACTTTCTCTGCTACCAAATTTCGTTCGGTGATTTTTTTTTCCGGCAGTAGATCGGTTGGTTTCAAATACGAGCGACTTTTCTTGTTCGTTGTTTCATCGTCATCGATTTCCTTTTTCATTTTAATCGGATCAATCGGAGGGTCTGGTTCCAGCGAATCGTGGTAATTATCGATCATTTGTTCCGATTCAAAATTTTCCTTTGGCTCCCATGTATTGGCTGATGAATCATATCCCTGAAAAACATTCCATCGTTTCAAAAAAAAAAAAAAAAACAAACAATGAATATCTTTTATTGCGCAGTATTCGATTTAAAAACAAAACCTCAATTTTCGAAAATTAATGCGGAGGGAAACAACAGGGAAAACAATAACAAATGCCAACGAAAGAACGGAAAAAGTGCTCTTACCTTCCATTTCACAAAATATTCATACGATCCATCTGGGCGACGGCGATGACGCACAATTTTCTCGATATCATAAAAAACGTCCATTTTGACACGACTGAAACAATTCAGATAAAATTCAATTGTTTTCACGTTTTTCAGCGGCAAAAATCTTGAGCACGTGTGCACTGTTTTCTGCTTTATTCACAATGTTATGAGTATTGTGATATTGCGCCCACTGTCATTCACTGCGAAATACGACATTTTTTAGTATTAATCTAGTGGTAGCCCTTCAATTGTAAACAGAAACCGAATGTGTGTGCAGCATATTTTGATACAAATACAATAACAATAAAAACCGTTGCTCATTACAACGACTGACATTTGTATCGTAGCCAACACATTTGTCGATTTATTGTCAATGTTGTCAAGTCAGTGCATGGAAATTGTTCAGAAAATTTAATTGAATTGTTCTTTATTTGAAGGGGTAAAATGTCGAGAGAAAACAGGCGCCGTTATCTTACACTTGAATCGAAAAATATCCATACGAGATTATTTCAAAATGTTTTGGCATTAGATGATTTTCTTGATGTAACTTTATCAGCGGGTGGAAAGCATATTAAGGCGCATCGCTTTATTTTGGCAGCTGCCTCCGAATACTTTCGAAAAGTGCTTAAATTCAGTAATGATTCGAACAATTTTCCAATATGTAAGTACAACATAATGGTTTTTCATGCACAATTCATACTATATTGCAAATAATTTTAATTGCAGTTTTTTTCAATGATGTAAAATTCGAACATATGAGTAAAATCGTTGAATATTTATACACGGGCAGCATTGAGATTCAATCGAATGACATAGATGAATTTATGAGGCTTGCAAAACGATTGCAAATTCTTGGCCTGCATAGGCCACTTGATGGTGATACGGACGATTTATCGATAGCTAGATCAACGCCATCCGTACTATTGTCATCATTTGATGATACAACGTATACCAATGATATACCACACGACATTTCATTCAATGAACCAGGCAGCAGTAGGGAGAAAAAAATGAATTGCAATCGAAATACGTCTTGTGAATGTTCGATCGGCTCGAATGAACAGACAAGAACTCAAAGGCCAAGAAATCGAAATATTGTTCCTATGGTGTCTGAACATACAACAGATGAATTGTCATCAAACCATAAACCAACCGCAGCAAAGATGGACAATGGTGACGGACAAACTAAATCGAGAATAATTAGACGTAGAAAAAAACGTAAGAGATTGGAACATTTTCAGTTTTTTTTTAAATATTTTACATTTTTTTCAAAAACTGTTCGTTGAATTATAGTGGATCGAAGTGAGAAAAATAGAAAAAAAGGATCAATGTTCGATGAAATGTCAACTGACAGCAGCACCACAGACAATCAATATAAACGTGTACGTTCAGGAAAGGATCGAAATTCAAACAAAATATCAGGGAAGTGGCCCTCGCGTAAAAAAACGAAACAATTCCACTGTCCAGTGTGTCAAAGTTCATTTTATTTGCGTCTTGGATTGATGAATCACTTCAAAAAAACGTCGTGTAATCCACCAACAGATTTTGATGACGATGAATAACCACGATATTAGTTAATTGCATAGTTAAACATAATTTTTTTCTGATATCCGGTTTCAAGAGGTTTTTTTTATTGTATTGAATTAATTGAAATTGTTTGTTTCACTTTATTGTTTTAAGTAAGACGTAACAGTTTCATGTTTGCCGCCGAATTGATTTCGGACTTTTCATTTTTTCATTCGCATATATCAACGATTTAAGATATAAATCATTTGACTGAATTGAAGCAATTTTTTAGTTTGGAGCATGACTGATTTGACTTCTCTAAACAATGATAGAAAAATAGTTTGTACATTTGAAATGAGAAATAAGTTTGATTAAAACTTTCATGGATTAAACTGAATCATTTATTTATACCAGTGTTTTACATATAGAATTCCCTACGGTATTTGTATCGCTGTGTGTTCATCTCATGCGCAGACCAAGCGTTCAGAAAGACATACATTTATGCGAGCAATTGAATGATGC